TATATATATATATTTAAAGACAGAGAAAGAAATGCGTTAAAATAAAAATAAAATAAATGCAGTAAAATAAAAAATAAACAAAAAAATAAAAATAAATAAAAAAATTAAATAAACAACAACAAAGACATCACGCGGAATCTAAACAAATAAAAATAAATTAAATAAATAAATAAATAAATAAATAAATAAATAAATAAATTATATAAATAAATATATAAAGTAAATAAACAAACAAAGATAAAACAAAGAAAGAAAGAAACAGTAAAAGTAAATGAAAAACCTGAAACAAACAAAAATAACACAAGTTGTAGGGTTTAGGGTTTAGGGTTTAGGGTTTAGGGTTTAGGGTTTACCTTTACGCAAATGCCCTTCTTGTGAGGGGCCCCCTCTAACCATTTGCTGCTCAAACAAACACAGAGACAGAAAAAGCAACATATAAACCTTCCTGTTGCTGCTGCTGCTTCTCTTGCTGCTGCTGCTGCTGCTGTTCTTGCTGCAGCGGTTACTCCCAGTACTGCTGCTGCTGCTATTGTTAGTGCTGCTACTAGTTCTGTTGCTGCTGCTGCTGTTGCTCTTTCTGCTGCTGCTCTTGCTGCTGCTGCTCTTGCTGCTGCTGCTCTTGCTGCTGCTGCTGCTGCTGTTGCTGCTGCTGCTGCTGGGTCTAACCTGCGAATGTTAGGGGGTTTAAGCCGAGGGACCTGCAGCGGCCTCCGCTTATAAAAGAGACGGCCGCTGATGTTGCGAGTGCTGAAGTAACGTCTGCTGCCTGCTGCTGCTGCTGCTGTTGCTGCTGCTGTTGCTGCTGCTGGTGCTGCTGCTGTTGCTGCTGTTCCTGTTCCTGCTGTTACTCTTCGCAGTGCTGCTGTTTCTGCAGCTCCTGTTCCTATTATTGCTGGTGCTGCTGCTGCTGCTGCTGAGTTAAGCGAGACACTGATCTCTCTCGTGCTGCTAGGAGACACAGGGGGGCCCCCACAGGGCAGGGGCCCCCCACTATGTTTGCAGGGGGGCCCCCCTAGGGGCCCCCAGGGTAAAGTTGTACGAAGTTTGCTGCTGAAGAAGTGAGAGACATACCGCTGTGCAGTGCAGCGCAGCAACATCTTCCTCCTCCTGCTGCTGCTGCTGCTGCTAGGGCTGCTGCTGCTCCTGGTGCTGCTGCTCCTGGTGCTGCTTGTACTGGTGCTATAGGTGCTCTTGATGCTGTTGCTGCTGCTGTTGCTGCTGCTGTTGCTGTTGTTGTTGCTGCTGCTGCTGCAGAGCGTGAAGGCTGCCCCGGTCGCGCTGTGCTCTGCTGCAGCAGCAGCAAACCAATTTTGCTGCAGCAAAAGCTGCAGCAACTGCAGCAGAAGCTGCAGTAGCGGCTATTAATGCTGTTTCAGCTAATGCTGCTGCTGCTGCTGCTGCTGCTGTTGCTGCACTGTGCTTTGCGAGCAGAGACACGAGAGATAAGAGGGGGTCGTTAGCCGTTAGAAGCTGTAAATACACATGAAATAAACCCTAAACCCTAAACCCTAAACCCTAGAGATTAAACCCTAAACCCTCAACGGTTATAGAGCAAAAGTCTCTATGGGCCCCCTTAAGGGGCCCCCCGCTGGGGGCCCCCAACCCCGGGCCCTGGGCCCCCCTCCCCCCCTCAATTTCAGCAGCTGCTCAGGCAGCAATCAATATACAAACCCTAAACCCTAAACCCTAAACCCTAAACCCTAAACCCTAAACCCTTATTACAGCCTTTGCGGGCCTTTCGGGGGAAGTTGTGTGCTCAGAGTGAGGAGAGAGAGCAACACGCAAACCCTAAACACTCGTGCCTTGCCACCAAACCCTAAACCCTAAACCCTAAACCCTAAACCCTAAACCCTAAACCCTAAACCCTAAACGCTAAACCCTAATATTTTATTTATTAGCAGAGAATTCTGCGGTCCTTTCCCCAAATCGCAAGCCTCCACCCCCTAAACCCTAAACCCTAAACCCTTAAACCCTAAACCCTCTTTGTTTGTTTGATTGTTGCTGTATATATCTTCTTTTCTCTCTATTTGCTGTCTCCTGTTATATTTTATTTATTTTTTATTCGTCTCTCTGCATGTGTGGCTGACTGTCTGCTGCAGTCTCTGCTGCAGTCTCTGTCTTTGTTTGCTGCTGCTGCTCTGTCTTCTTTTACCGCATAAATAGCGAAAGAAACTGTCTCTTGCTGCTCTTATCTGCTGCTGCTGCTGCTGCTGTTGCTGCTGCTGTTGCTGCAGTCATGGATCTTACCTCCCTAAACCTCAGCAGCAACTTGCTGCTGCTTCTAGGGGGTGTATTATTGTTGTTTCTGCTGCTGCAGCGCAGCAGCAGCAGCAGCAGCAGCAGCAGTATAAACCCTCTGTCTTATTTATTTAAATCTTTTCAGCAAGACCCTACTGATGCTTTATCAAAGTTATTAGGCGGCACACACCTGGGGGCCCCTCACTTGGGGGCCCCCTATCTTCATCGCGCTTTATCTCGCATTAGATCTTGCGTCAGCAGCGAAGACAGAGAAGAATGTAAAATGGTTTTATGCGTTCGTAATGGTGTGCATACACCCCAAACCCTAAACCCTAAACCCTAAACCCTAAACCCTAAACCCTATAGTCGTAGCTAAACGGATGGATAATACAGCTTGTGGGCGTCTATACGAATTTCCTATCTCTATTCAATTTGTTTATACATGCATGCATGCATGCAGCACATGCATGCATGCATGCAGCACATGTTTATACATGCATGCATGCATGCATGCATATAAACAAAGTTAGTGTAGTAGCGTCTGTGCGAGGAGGTTCATTGTATGTTTCTTTTGGGGCTTTGTTTGCATGCATATATAATTATTTCTTCTGGGGCTTTGCATGCATGCATTGAATAATTTCTTTTGGGGCTTTGCATGCATGCATGCATTGCATAATTTCTTGTGGGGCTTTGCATGCATGCATGCATTGAATAACTTCTTTTGGGGCTTTGTTTGCATGCAGATTTAGGAATGGGGCGAGGTAAGGTGGCTGCGCAGTGTGCGCATGCAGCTCTGGGTGCGTATAGAAAAGCAAAGAAGGCATCGGAAGCTGTTATAGCAGCAGAGATGCAGGGGGGCCCCCCTGCTGCTGCTGCTGCTGCTGCTGCTGCAACTTGGAAGGCAATAGAGCGTCTTGCTTTGTGGCTGGACCTCTGGGAGCAGCGAGGCGAGACAAAAGTTGTCTTAAGATTTCCTGTACGTACACCCGAAAACCCTAAACCCTAAACCCTAAATAAACGACAAAGAGAAGAATAACGAATATAAACGCTGCACAAAGACAGCACAGAGCATGCAGATACTCAAACTGCATACTGGCGGACTATGATGTGCATGCGAAGCCTGCTGCAGCTGCTGCTGCTGGTGTTGCTGCTGCAGATGCTGCTGCTGCTGCTGTATCAGCTGCTGCTGCTGCTGCTGCTGCTTGCTGCTGTTGGTGTAATGCTTTTATTGCGAGTTTATTGCTCTTAGTTGCGTGTCTGACGTTTGTTTATTTTGTCTACTGTCTAATATTTATATTTATATTTATATTTATATTTATATTTATATTTTATTATTTCTGCGGGTTGCTGAGGTGTATCTGCAGGATGAAGAAGCAGGATTAGATATTGTAAAGGCAGCAGCTGCAGCGGGCCTCAACGTCTGCTGCGTACGCGACGCTGTAAGTTTTAGGGTTTAGGGTTTAGGGTTTAGGGTTTAGGGTTGGCAGGTGGGAGTTAAGCGCGGCTGCCCGTCTGAGGTGTACGCACAGCAGCAGCTGTATGCTGCTGCTGCTGCTGATGCTGCTGCAGTATTTGCTGTACTGATTGTTGCTTTGGGGGGCCCCATGGCTTCTCCTGCTGCATGCAAGGGCTCTCTTGGGGCCCTCCCTGCAGCAGCAGGAAACAGAGGGAGCGAACTGTGCTGCAGCAGCAGCAACAGCAGCAGCAGCAACAGCAGCAGCAGCTAGCCTTGCATGCAATCTGTGTGGATTGACTGGGCTGCAGGGACGCACACAAGTACCTCGAGGCTCTATGACTGCTATTGCTGTGGGGCCAGGTGAGCAAGCAGCAGCAGCACCACATAGCATAGACCCGGTAAATGCAGGCCCATACATTTTTGCAGCTGTTGTACGTATACCTTTTCTTCTTGCTGCTGCTGCTGTTGCTGCTGCTGCTGCTGCTGCTGCTCAGCCCCAATTGGCCGCATTGACAAGGTGACGGGACACCTGAAGCTGTTATGATGCCTCTGTCTCTTTCATCTTATTAGGGGCCCCCACCTCTCTAATAATATAGGGGGCCCCTATTAATGCTTTGGGGGCCCCCCACACCCCCTCGAGTTTGTAGGGGCCCCCAAGTGCTGCTGAGGGCCCCTAAGGACATTTAAAGGGCCCTCTAGGATATCTTTAGGGGCCCCACAGGCCCTCTAAGGGGCCCTACGGTCCTTTAGGGGGCCCCCTAGGATCTTTAGGGGGGCCCCCTAGGGCCTTTAGGGGGCCCCCAAGGGCCTTTAGGGGGGCCCCCTAGGATCTTTAGGGGGGCCCCCTGGGGTCCTTTAGGGGGCCCCCTAGGGTCCTTTAGGGGGGCCCCCTAGGGTGCTTTAGGGGGCCCCCTAGGGTCCTTTAGGGGGCCCCCAAGGGCCTTTAGGAGGGCTCATGTTCGTTTGCTGCTGCTTCCCTGAGTTTTGTCTCTGCTGCTGCAGCAGCAGGTGTCTCCAGCATTGTTGTCTAATTTTGCTTTCTTGCGTTTTCATTCACACCGTTGTTTTGCTACGCTTGCTGCTGCTTCTGCTGCAGCTTTTGCCGAAGCAGAAGCAGCAGCAGAGCACAAGCAGCAGCACGTGCTGCTGCTGTTGCTGCAGCACTTGCTGCTGCTGCAGCACTTGCTGCAGGTGCGTGCCTCCGCAGCGCTGCAACCTCATAATTGTTTTGTTTTCTTCTTGATTATCTACGAGTCTTTCAGTTGTCTCTGTTTGTCTTTATTTTATTTTATTTATTTATGTCTTTGTCTTGCGTTGTCTGTCTTTGTCTCCGTCTGTAAAGAGTCTGTTGTTGCTGAGAAACTGTCTCCTCGTATTTGTTTGTTTAAACCCCCTTGTCTCTGTTTGCTTATTTTCGTCTGTCTCTCTGTCTCTGTCTCCTTCGTACTCCTTGCCTTACTCTGTCTGTCTCCACTTAGCTGTCTGTCTCTGTCTCTGTCTTCTTATCTCTTACTCTGTCTCTCTGTCTCTGTCTCTCTGTCTCTGTCTCTCTGTCTCTGTTTATGTTTGCGTTTCTGTCTCTGCCTGTCTCTCTGTCTCTCTTTCTGTCTCCGTCTCTGTTTTTGTCTCTGTCTCTCCTTCTCTGTCTCCTTTTATCTGTCGCTGTCTCTGTCCTCCTTTCTCTGTCTCTTTGTCTTTGCTTTTGTCTGTCTCTGTCTGTCTCTTTCTGTGTCTCTGTCTCTGTCTCTGTCTCCGTCTGTCTCTGTCTCTGTTTATGTTTGTGTCTCCTTCTGTCTCTTTTTGTCTCTGTCTCTCTTTATTTCTTTGTCTGTCTCTCTGTCTCTCTATCTCTGTCTCTGTTTCTGTCTCCTTTCCTGTCTCCCTATAGAGCAGCAGAACAGCAGCAGCAGAACAGCAGCAGCAAAGCAGCAGCAAAACAGCAGCACTTGCTGCTGCATGTTGCATAGATTAGCCCTTAGCTTCCCCGCCAGTACGCAGAGTTGCTGCTGCTGCTGCTACTGCTGTTGCTGCTGCAGCAGCAGCTCACAGCTGTAGCAGGAGCCTGCAGCTGTTACTGTTGCTGTTGTGGTTGATGCTGCTGCAGCAGCCTGCATCTCGCAGCAGCAGCAGCAGCAGCAGCAGCACATCTTTTGGGGTGTACGTACACCGCGGTGTTTAATAAATAAGCAAAGACATAAACCCTAAGCTGCAGATATCTGCTGTCTCCTTTCCTTCTGCTGCTGTTTATACACTGTGAACAGCAGCAAACAAAATAAGAGAAAGGAGACAGTAGAACAGCAGCAAACAAAACAGCAGCAGCAAATTTGTCTCCTTTGCTGTTTGTCTCCTTTTCTTGCGTCCCTCTCTTCTCTCGCGCTGCAGCTCTGCTGTCGCTTTAGGCACCTAAACCCTAAACCCTAATCCTTGAGCTCTAAACCCTTGACAATCAAACCTAAACCCTAAACCCTAAACGATACACTCCTTTTACTCTTCTTCTGTCTACCCTATTCTGTCTCCTTTGTCTGTCTCTTTTGTTTATTTGTCTCTATTTGTCTGTCTCCTTTCTTTATTTGTCTCTATTTGTCTGTCTCTTTTGTTTATTTTAATTGCGGACACCCGAGTGCATGCGCCCCACAAAATAATTGCAGGTGTAATCCGACAGTATGTGCAAACGAATGTTCTCGCTGCTGCTGCAGCTGCTGCTGTTTCTGCTGCTGCTGCTGCTGTTTCCGCTGCTGCTGCTGCTGCTGCTGCATTCGTCTGTCGGAGGTAATCCCTCACTGACAAGCCCCACAAACACGTAGAGACAGAAAACCTAACTGCTGCTGCAGCAACACAAGCTGCAGCAGCAACACAAGCTGCAGCAGCAGCACAAGCTGCAGCAGCAAAACAACCTGCAGCAGCAGCACAAGCTGCAGCAGCAACACAAGCTGCAGCAGCAACACAAGCTGCAGCAGCAGCACAAGCTGCAGCAGCAGCACAAGCTGCAGCAGCAACACAAGCACAAGCTGCAGCAGCAGCACAAGCTGCAGCAGCAACACAAGCTGCAGCAGCAAGACAAGCTGCAGCAGCAAAACAACCTGCAGCAGCAGCACAAGCTGCAGCAGCAACACAAGCACAAGCTGCAGCAGCAGCACAAGCTGCAGCAGCAACACAAGCTGCAGCAGCAAAACAACCTGCAGCAGCAACACAAGCTGCAGCAGCAACACAAGCTGCAGCAGCAAAACAACCTGCAGCAGCAGCAGTACCTGCAGCACCAGCAGGATATCAAGCTGAAGCACGCGCTGCAGCAGCAGCATGAGCTGCATCATCAAAAGCTGCAGCAGCAGCAGGATATGTAGTAGCAGCAGGAACTGCAGCAACAGCAGCAGAAACTGGTGCTGCTGCTACATAAGCTGCTGCTGGAGAGTGTAGGTTTATGTGTCTCTTCTGCGTCTGCTGCGTTTGTGCTGCTTCGCTAACTCTCTCTCTGCTGCTAGCCCTCTTCGTCTCTCTTTAAACCCTCTACCCTTTCTGTTTTTTGTTTTTCTTTTGCTTTTGCTGCTGCTGCTGCTTCTGCTTCTGCTGCTGCTGCTGGTGCTGCTGTGTCGGTGTCTCCTGTGTCTCCTCATTCGTCTTTCCCGGCTGCTGCTCCTACTTCTACCCCTGCCCCTGCTGCTGCTGCTGCTGCTGCTGCTGAGGTGTCTCCTGTGTCTCCTTCCCTCTGTTCTTCTGTCTCTGCTGTCTCTCCACTGTCTCCTTTTAATATATTTTAACTCCCAGCTGCGGCTGCGGCTGCGGGGGGCTCTTGCTGCTGTGCTTCCTGCTGCAGTAAACCTGAAGAGAAGCAGCAGCAAATATAATTAAATTCAAGCAAAACATAAACAAACAGAAGGAGACATCGAGAAGAAAAAAAAATAGCAGCAGCAGCTGCAGCAACAGCAAAAGACGCAGAGGCAACAGCTCCAGCAGCAACAGCAGCAAAACCAGCAGCAGCAACTAGAGCAGCAACAGCAACAGCAGAAACACCAGCAGCAGCAGCAGCAACAGCAGCAACAGCAACAGCAACAGAAGCAGCACCAAAAGCAGCAGCAGCAACTGCAGCAGCAACAGCAGCAGCAGCAACAGCAGCAGCAACAGCAGCAGCAGCAGCAGCAGCAAACCTTGAATCAAGTGTCCGCTTGTCCTCTGCTGCTGATCGCCACCTGCTGAAGCTGTCTCTATCTGTGGGGCTCTTCCAGTGGGGGCCCCTATAGTAGGGGCCCCCTCTAGAGTTTGCTGCTGCTGCTGCTGCTGCTGCTGCTGCTGCTGCTGCTGCTGTGTCTGTCTCCATTGCTGCTTCTGGTCTAGGAGTTAAGCTGAGAAGAATCACAAAGATAACACGACAAAAACAAAATAAAGAAGGAGACAGTTAGATTAAGAAAGGTAAAAAAAAAGAATAAGAGACAGTCAAAGGAGACAGAAGAAAATAAAGGAGACATCTCAAAGGAGACAGATAAAATAAAAACTAAATTAAGTTAAATTAAACTAAATTAAATTAAACTAAAATAGCCTAAATTAAACTAAATATAATTAAACAAAATATAATTAAATAAAATATAATTAAAAGGAGACAAAAGAGCTAAAGATTTACACAGCTCGGCAAGACGGCGGGTGCAGCCTGGATGTCCCCTCTTCTCCTAAATCAAACAAACCGTTTAAAAGTAAAGAGCGAAAGCGACCCCCTGAAGACTACAAATAAAACAAATAAAGACAAAAGGAGACAGCATCCAGACAAAAGGAGACACCACCAAGACAAAAGGAGACAGCATCCGCACAAAGCAGATTAAATATAGAGAAAACGAGACGAAATCAAACAACATAGAAAAAGAGAGAGACAAATACACTAAAGGAGACAAACAATGAAGCAGCAGCAGCAGCAGCAGTAGCAGGAGCACTAGCAGCAGCAGCAACAGTAGCAGCAGCAGCAGCAGTAGCAGCAGCAGTAGCAGTAGCAGCAGCAGCGAGCACAGACCTGTACAGCTACTGCGTCTCTAAGTAGAGCTGTCTCCTCGAGACCTGCTGTATCCCCTGTTAAAGCTGCTGCTTCATTTCCAGCAGCAGCAGCAGCAGCAGCCATTGTGAAGTTGAGCGTAGGGCGCAGCTTCCTTATGCGTGAGGGGTCTGCTGCTGCTGCTGCTGATGCAGCAGGCATATCCGCAGCAACAGCCGGACGCAGCAGCAGCTGATAGCTCTTACCGTCTTCGCTGCTACCTATGGACACCACCCTGAAGCAGCAGCAGCAGCAGCAGCAGCAGCAGAAAAGGCATCACAGAATAAAACTCTAGGCCTTTAAACATACAGAAGAACTGCAACAGCAGCAGCAGCAACAGAAACGCAAAAGAAGCAGCAACAGGAGCAAGACAAGCAGCAGCAGAAGCAGCAGCTGCTGCAGCAGCGAGCAGCACGGCGCACTGCAGCAGCAGCAGGTGGATCAGCAGCAGCACGAGCAGCAGCACCACCAAAAAACAGCAGCAACAGCGCCACAAACAGCAACAGAAGAGCAGCAGCAGCAGAACAGCAGCAGCAGAACAGCAGCAGCAGCTGAACAGCAGCAGCAGCACAAGCAGCAGCATCACCACAACGAGTAGCAGAAGAGCAGCAGCAGCACAACAAGCAGCAGCAGCAGAGCAGCAACACAAACAGCAGCACCACCACAATCAGCAGCAGCAGCAGCAGCAGCAGCAGCAACTTGCCTTCTCCACTTGGAGAGTTGCTGCAGACAGATTCTAACGTCAGCGTCTTCGTCTGCTGTTTGCTGCAGTTGCGTCAGGCTTGAGATTTGCTGCTCGATGGCAGCAAGCTGCTGCTGGTGCTGCTGCTGCTGCTGCTGGTGCTGCACCTCACCCTCCTCAGCACCTTCCTCCAGCAGCTGCTGCAGGTGTTTCTGCTGCTGCTGCAGCTGCTCCTGGTGTCGCATGAGCAGCAAATCACAGGGTCTACTTCTCTGGTGCAGCGCAGCAGCAGCAGCAGCAGGAGAGGGAAAGGCGATGCAGCACTGCTCAATGCGGCTGTTAAACGCATCCACATCCTGCTGCTGCTGCTGCTGCTGCTGCTGCTGCTGCTGCAGAGGGGCTATGAATTCGACTTGCAAAGGGTTGAACGGCTGGAAGAAAGATAATACATCAAACGGAGACACAACACCGCCGCACACCAGCAGCAAACTGCTGGGTACCGGCTGCAGCAGCAGCACAGCAGCAAACCACACAAACAGCAGCAGCAAACCGCATCAGAAGCAGCAGCAAACTGCACAAGCAGCAGCACCGACACCTATATATAGCCACCAGCTAGCTAGCTACTACCAGCTAGCTGCAAGCAGCTAGCTGCAAATGCAATACAAAGGTAAGGCAGGTGAGGAAAGGCAGCAGCAGCAGCAGCAGCAGCAACAGCTACAGAAGCGGCAGCAGCAACAGCAACATCTACAGCAGCAGCAGCAACAGCTCCTATAGTAACCGCTACAGCAGCAGCAACAGCAGCACCCGCTCCAGTATCAGCAGCATCCGCTGCAGTAGCAGCAGCAACAGCAGCAGCGGCAGCAGCACCCGCTGCAGCAGCAGCAGCAACAGCACCACCTACCGGGTCATCTTGCTGCAGCAGCCTTACGTACTCCCAACCTGCATCAGGTATATTGAGGGCTTCAACGCAGACAGCGCGCAGCAGCTGCAACCATCTTCCCCCTGTGTTTGCTGCTGCTGCTGCTGCTGCTGCTACACAAGGGCTGGGGCGCAGCAGCACTTGTCGCCTCGGCTGAGGCGGTGGCGTCTGTCGCTGCTGATGCTGCTGCTGTTGCTGATGCTGCTGCTGTTGCTGCTGCTGCTGTTTCTGCTGCTGCTGCTGCTGGCTGCGGTTTCTTCTCTCTTGTTCAATCACCTCCTCTAGCGACAGCTGCAGCAGTGGATTTGCTGCTGCTGCTGCTGCAGCATCAAGACCTTCAGGGGGCCCCTGTCTCTCCGGGGCCTCCCAGGTAATTAAGGGGATAGACATTTAGAATGAGACAACGAGGGTTTAGGGTTTAGGGTTTAGGGTTTGAGGTGCTGAGCTGCCCTGGTCGGCAGCAGCAGGCTGTTAGAATCTGCAGCAGCAGCAGCAACTGCTGCTGCTGCTGCTGCTGCTGTTGTGCTTCCCGTTGTTGCTGTGGATGCTGCTGTTGCCGCCGCTATCGTTACTATTGCAGCAATTGCTGCTGCTGTTGCTGCTGCTGCTGCTGCTGCAGAGGGGGCCCCCTGCTTGGGCTGCAGTTGCTGCAGGTAGCAGGAGCAGCAGCAAGAGGGGTCTGTGGTGTACGTACAGCTCAGCAGACTTAGCTGCAACTACTTTATATATAAAATTATTTTTAAATAAATTACCTTAGCGGCAGCAGCACGCGCTTTGCTGCTGCTGCTGCTGCTGCCGCCGATTATTGGGGCTGTCGCTTATGCTGCTGCTGCATGCAGCAGCAGCAGCAGCAGCAGCAAGCCAAACACAGCTGTCTGTACAGCTCAGCAGCCCTTTGCTGGTCTTCATACATCAGACATCCGCCTCTACGAATTGATAGACAACCCTATTATTCTGTCTCCTTTATCTGTCTCCTTTTAAGGTGTATATATACTTTAAAACGAAGAGCTGTGTATACACTGCAATTCATAATGAGCTTCTCTTCTCTCCTCAGCTGTACTGCAAGAGGAGCAACAGCAGCAGCAGCACAACGCCTCCACGCATTTGCTGCTGCTGCTTCTGCTGCTGCTGCTGCTCCTGCCGCTCCTGCTGCTGCTCCTGCTGCATGCTTCCGCTGTACACACACACTACAACAACGGAGATACAACAGCAGCAGCAATAACAACAATAACAACACTAGCAGCAGCAGCAACAACAACAACAACAGCAACAGCAGTAGCAGCAGCAGCAGCAGCAACAGCAGCAGCAGCAACCCCATTGACAATGTGAAGCTACTTAAAGACGAAGTCGTTTATAGAGGATGGAGGACAAGTACGCAGCAGCAGCAGCACCAACAGCAGCAACAGCAACAGCAGCAGCAGCAACAGCAGCAAGAAGAATTCAATGCTTTGCTTTTATTCGTGCTGCTGTGTGCCGCTTGCTGCTGTTTATTCTGTCTCCTTTTGTCTTTAATTTATTTATTTATTTATTTGTTTTTTCTTTTATCGCTGCTGCAGCTCTTCTCTGCTGCTGCTGCTGCTTTTTACTGTTTTTGTTTGTCTCCTTTTGTCTCCGTCTGTCTCCTTTTGTTTATATTTTTTATTTTGTTTGTCTGCATTATTATTATTACGTTTAAATGCCTTCCTTGTTTATTATCTTCTTATATATATATATATATATATTCTTCTGTCTCCTTTTGTCTTCATATATATATACATATACGTAATTTATTTATTCTTCTGTCTCCTTTTGTGTTTATATATATATATATTCTTCTGTCTCCTTTTGTCTTCATATATATATATGTATATATTCATCTGTCTCCTTTTGTCCTCATATATATATATATATATTTATTTATATATTCTTCTGTCTCCTTTTGTCTGCAGTAAAGCGTCGGTCTGTCTCCTTTCCTGACGGCTCTGTTCATTCGTTTGATGTCTCTGACGCACCGCCTGCTGTTATTTGTCTACCTTTCTGCTCTACTACAAAAAAGCTTACACTTCTTAGGGTAATACTCTTCTTGCTGCTGCTGCTGCTGCTGCTGCTGCTGTTCTTTCTCCTGCTGCTGTCGCTGCTGCTACCGTGCTGCTGCTGCTTTTTCTTCTTTTTCGTGATGCTGCTACTCTTTCTCCTGCTGCTGCTGCTGCTCTTTCTCCTGCTTCTGCTGCTGCTGTTCTTCTCGCTGCTGCTGCTGTCTCCTCTCTTTCTTCTGTCTGCTTTGGGTTCGCGTGCTGTTGCATGGTGCTGCCTGTTGTCTCTTCTTTGCTGTCTCCTTTTTACCTTTCTTCCTTCTCTCTGTCTCTTTTCTGTCTCCTTTCTTCTGTCTCCTTTCTTTATTCTGTCTCTTCTCTTTGTTCTGTCTCTTCTCTTTATTCTGTCTCCTTTCTTTCTTCTTTATTCTGTCTGCTTCTGTCTCCTCCTGTCTCCTTCTGTCTCCTTCTGTCTCCTTCTGTCTACTTCTGTCTCCTTCTGTCTTGTTTCAGTTTATAGTGTGTCTTGTCTTTATTCTGTCTCCTCCTGTCTCCTCCTGTCTCCTTCAGTCTCCTTCTGTCTCCTTGTGTCTCCTCCTGTCTCCTTTTGTCTTGTTTCAGTGTATAGCGTGTCTTGCTTTTATTGTATTTGTTTAAAGGAATACTGCCCGGGGCCTAACAAAGGACTGTTCGGCGTTGTCTGCGGTCTCTACGAACAAAAACATCACAGCATGCAGCACTGCGCTGCATGCGAGACAGAAGAAGAGGCTGGAATAGTATATCTTATTTCTCTGTCTCTTCTTTTATATCTTTTTCTGTCTCCTTTTATATATGTCTCTCTCTTCTTTTATATCTTTCTCTGTCTCTCCTTTTATATCTGTCTCTGTCTCCTTTTACTTCTCTGTATCTCTTCTTTTATATCTTTCTCTGTCTCCTTTTATCTGTCTCTGTCTCCTCCTATATCTTTCTCTGTCTCCTTTTATCTTTCTCTGTCTCTTCTTTTATCTGTCTCTATCTCTGCTTCTATATCTTTCTCTGTCTCCTTTTACTTCTCTGTATCTCTTCTTTTATATCTTTCTCTGTCTCTTCTTTTATATCTTTCTCTGTCTCTCCTCCTATATCTCTCTCTGTCTCTTCTTTTATATCTTTCTCTGTCTCTTCTTTTATATATTTCTGTCTCTTCTTTTTTATATCTTTCTGTCTCCTCTCTTTTATATCTTTCTCTGTCTCCTCTCTTTAATATCTGTCTCCTTTTTATATCTGTCTCCTTTTCTGTGTCTCTTTTCAGTATTTTATCTGTCTCCTCTCTGTCTTCTCTGCTCTTTCTTCTGCCTCACCCAATTCCTTTCGCTTATATTCTTACCTGTTTAAGCTTGAGGTCTAGGGTTTAGGGTTTAGGGTTTAGGGTTTAGGGTTTAGGGTTTAGGGTTTGTGTGCAGCGAGGAGGGCGTTTGGTGCCCATAATGAATTCTTCTGTGGTTTTACCTGGGGCTAAGTATACAGCACAGCCTTATCTCCCTTATTTAGTTATTGACGGGCAGAAGGTAATCCAATTAGGGTTTAGGGTTTAGGGTTTAGGGTTTAGTGATGCACGACCAGAAACTAATCCTGCTGCTTTTGCTTCTGCTGCTGCTGCTGCTGCTGCTGCTGCAGCTTAGATATACTCCCACCACTGGCGCGCAGCAGCTGCTGCTGAGTTGATTGTTTAGTATCTTCTGCTACTGCTGCTGCTGCTGCTGCTGCTGCTGCTGGTGTTCAGGTGTATGGGGACCGCCGGGCAGCAGATGCTGACGAGCTGATTGAAGTGTACGAGCTGCATTATAAAGAGGCACTGGATTTAATCTTTCAGGGGCGAGTTACGAGCACAGGGGCGATGATGGTTCTCTTAGGAATTGAGAAGCTTAAACAAATTAATTTAATATAACTGCGTGCATGCAGCTGCGTCGTCCTCCAAGCCCCAACACAACCATACAACTCCTGCCTGATGCATGCACCTGCACCACCACCAGCAGTTGCAGCGGCAGCAGCAGCCACAGCAGCAGCTGCTAGAGCAGCAGCAGCAGTTGCGGCTCCTGTGTATTCACATCAAAAACTAACTTCACCCGCAGCAGCAGAAGCTGCAGCAGCAGCAGCAGCTGTAGCAGCAGCAGCAGCAGCAGCAGCAATCCTCCGCCTTGATGTATTTAATTTTCTGTTTTTTGTTTGGCTTTGATACGCCGCCACCACAACCACCATATCTTTTAAACTTTTAATCTAATATATATATATATATATATATAT